CAGAATGAACAGGCACAAGGCGAAACTGGTCTAAGAAATTTCAGCAGCCCTTACCAGCTTTCTGTTCTTTTTTTTTGATCAAAATGTTAAAGGCTGAAAAGGGAAACTTAACATTTATGAGAAGTACTAGGCTGACTCTCATAGACTGACCAATCTCAGAGCTGTAAGCAAAAAATGAGTAGTAATAGAGGAGTCAGTCAGGAATGCAGTCTGCGTGCCACCCAGACAGACTGTTTTACAGCCATTTTAGTGCTGTAGAAAGAGCAGGCAAATAATCCCAAGCCAAATCAGAAATGACATACTCCTAACTAGGTGTCGCTTGCAAACTTCAATCACATGAGAAGAGGCATGAACCTCTTCCTACAGGTTTTGGCGCTCCCTGCTTTTCCTTTTCCCATCCTACTAGTTGCATCATTTTGAACTAACCTTTAGGACTGCAGTGATAAATGCCTAAAATTTGAGGTTCTGAAGGTCAAGTCATTGGCAGCTCTGCTTGGTGAGGCCACAGCTCTTTCAAACATCCCAGCAAAGGAAGAGGAGCCTGAAGACACTAACAACCTCATGAAAGGTGATCTCATTGTGATTTGTGGCTTTCAGACAACTTCAGGAGAAGATGTCCGTGACTTTGCCAAGGTACTAAAAAACAAATTTCGAACAAAAAGATATTTTGCAAAGCACCCACGAATGGGCTACCTGCCTGTGCAAACTGTCTTGGAGGGAGACAACATGGAAACGTGAGTAGCTCTAAGGTGTCTAAGTAGTAATTCATCTGGTATGCTCCTCGAGCCCCCCGGCTGGTGCCAGCTCCTTCACCTCTTAGCTGCATAACGCCGCCTTATTTCCGTCCTTTCTGTTAACTGTGGCTGACAGGAAAACACAAGCTGGGATTCCAATTGCCATTCCGTTTATTTTCATCTATCCTTAGAGGAACTTAAAATTCAGTTAGTAAAAGAAATATACTGTCATGCTGACAGCCCTGTAAGGCTTTAAATTTGATACAACAATTTGGAAACTAATGATCTCTGTTAAATTTTTATTTTCTTCCAAGTGGATATCTTTCTGTGTTTTCTTTTTTTTTCCCTGTTTTTTTTTTAAATAATTAGATTATTATGTTTGCAAAGTTCCCAGCTGATTTTTTCTTTTCTTGCCCTGCAAATCTAGTCTTATTAAATAGCTTTGAAGTATTTCTGGTGGGGAAAAAAAAAGCAATAATGATGCACATACAGATATTAATGAATAACCCAGTTCCCTTTGGTTTTCCTACAAGTTTAATCAGTTGCTTAA